TTTCTATAGAGTGTTGTACTAGGGTACTTTTGAAATTTTTTTGTTTATGGGTGGACCACACTTAGTTCATGTTGTCTCATTCTTTGTGTACATATTGGGAGGTTTGTCCAATATATTGAAAAGCACAGTCATTACAAGAAACAGAATATACTACATTAGTATTGAGATTGGATGGGGTGGGGGATTTAATGTTCGTAAAGAATTGGTTGAAGGAGTGTAAGGATGAGCCTGATACTAAAATGTTTTCTTCTAACAAAATTTTGGCAAAATTTTCAAAATTTTCTTAAAAAAAATTTGACAAATTTTCTTAAAAAATTTCCATAACTTTCAAAAAAATTTTCTATTATGTTTAATATCCTGTTTTGATAATCCACTCATTTATTTTTATCATTTTTATTTTGAACATATTATCATATTTCTGTACATTATTATATTTTTTACAATTCAATTCATTATTTAAGAAAAATCTATTTTCTTTTCCAATCGAAACTATGGCTGTTAGAGATAGCGTGGTCTACAAGTGTACTTTTTTGTTGAATGTTATTATTCTTCTAAGAATAATAACATTCAAAAAAAAGTACACTTGTAGACCACGCTATCTCTAACAGCCATAGTTTCGATTTCAATAATCCACATTTTATATTATGAACAAGATTTATTTAAAAGAAGTATTGCAGAATCGATGTTAATAGCCCATACAAGTAACACAGTAAATTACGGACAGATACCAATATATACATGATACATACCTGAATCTCATTCATACTTTGTAGTTATATATAGATGTACATACACTTTTAATTACAACAATGTATAACAAATCTTATAAACAAACCATCTCATCATAGAATATTTTTTCTCCTAACGACATCTATTTTTCAACTGGACCCTAATCCTTTTTTTTCCTATCTGATTGAGTGACTTTACAATTTCAAGTGGTTTCAAGTAGAGAGAATACGAATACCGAAGACATTGGTATTAAAAGAACAACGTGCAGTGAACGACGTGTAATGAAAAACACAACATGCTAATTTAGATTTCCATATTTTAAAATTTTTTTAATTATAACACACTGATGATGAGACAAACCTAGTCTCGAAACGTTTGTGAAAATTATTATTTAATAAATTAGTGCAAAAAGAGTGTTGTTTGTTCATATTTCCAAATTAATATCTATTATCCACTCAGAATACATTTGTAATATATATATATATATATATATATATATATATATATATTAACATCACACAAATAAACACAAATCATATATATATTATATATATATATATATATATATATATATATATATATAATATATATTAACATCACACAAATAAACATGTTTAACGTTTAATAAGTTGTCGAAAATATGTATTGACTGCTCGCAGTCTAGGATAGAACATAAATTTTTACAGATTTTAAATATATATTGCTAAAAAGTTTCATATATTTTTTTATTTATATGTAACGCCTGATCTTTAAATCCAAATAAATATATATATATATATATATAATATATATATTATTTATATATACATATTCATAAATAAAAATTGATAATAGATAAATTAAGTAAATGTTTACTATAATTTTATATATTAATTTTGAAAAAATATTGTCAAAATTCTAAATTTAACTTCTAACTTCTTTCAAGAGATCGGTTTGATTCGGTGCATTCCTGATTTAAGTAATAAGTAAAATCAGGATTTAAGTTTATGTTATATATATATATATATATATATATATATTTTTAATTATATAATAAATATTATTGAACTTGACTACACGAAAATATTTTTTGATAAATCCACGTTTTAGCACACTTAGTACAAGTTATATAAAATATAAATTAAAAATATATACAAATTAATTATTTTCATTTCAATTAGACACATTGAGCTGATTAAAACTGTTTAAATTCTAAATATTGAAGAAAGTTCTCGACTAAGAATATAGAATTCAACTCTTTTTTAGCACTTAATTGGTCTAAAATCTATACTCGCAAAATTTTAATTTTTCCTATCAACCACCATGGTTCAAAATAGCATTACTAATTGAAAATATGATCTGTTAAATAAAAAATATCTTTTTAAAATCAAATTGAAATTTATTAGTTATGTAGTTTGATAATAAATAGAAATAAAGAATACAAAAGCATATGTAATTATGAAAGCAAGTTCGAGTACAAATCGATATGTAAAACTTAAATAAAAACAAAATCTCAATAGAAGAGAATACATAATTTTGAAAAAAAATAATACTGATATAATTTTTGAAATTAATTTTTTTCATGAAAAAAATATATTAAAAAAGGCAAATATAAAAAACTAAAATAATAGACACCTGATAACTCAGAATTCTTAACCTTCCAATTTATATGTATCTAAATCTAATTCTTTGTGTGTAATAAAGACTTATATACGTACATTGCAACCCCGTGTTCGCCGCAGTAACAGTATATAGACACAAAATCAATATTTGTACAGGCAAGTCACGGCAAGTACGTCCAACATATGACACTTGGTAAAATAGACAAATTATTTATTATTTATATTTCATACGAAAGTTTAAATTATAAAAATATAACATAGAGAAAAATTGAACAAATTTGAATGAAAACACATTTTCCGTAATCACTAACCAAAAGCACGCGCCGCTGTTTTCAAACTGACGTAGCGCGGAACACATCGCGATCGGTTGCCGAGTAGAAACTTAAGGGTAGAACTCATGGGGGATGTTTAGTCATGTGCAGATGAAAGAACTGAACTAGAATACTGCCCGGTAGAATAAACCAATGAAATTTACACTATGTCGTAATGAACAAAAGCACATGAAAAATATGGGTTATATTTATAACATACCGTTTGAAGATAGTGAATAGACGTTTGAATTGAATCCGATAAATAAATATTGCCTATTATAATGATATACGTGCGATATATATATATATATATATATATATATATATACATATATATATATACAGGGCCGGTCCTACCTTGAATGCAATGCACGCCTTAAGGGGCGCCAAAACGAGATTTGGATATGAAATATATATAATTATTATTAATAATATATAATTTCTTTGCATCTTACAGTAATCTTTGAACAATATTTTTAAAATACGTTAAAAATGTAACTTTAAAACAACAAACCGATAAACGATAGGAAAGTAAAGATGAATACACACAATTTGCTCTTACGATATCAATTAAGAGAAGTTGACGGTGCAATTTTGAATATTATATTTTAAATATCGAAAAATTTAAATAAAATTATCCAAAATGAAGTACTAGTGTCATGTTTAATAATGAAAGGTTAGATTTTTTTTTGCTCTTTGTTTGCTCAATAGAATAAATCGTATAAAATCCCCAAAATAAATAAATAAAATATTTCAAAACGCAAATATTAATAATTACGCATGCATTAGAAATAATTGAAAATTTAAGAATATTCTTGCAAGCAATAAATAACATATTAAAATTTTTTGATATGCAATGCTTGGATTGAATAAAAATTTAGAGATAGTTCAGTAGTGCGACAACGATAGTAGACATACAAATTTGTAAATGAGCACCCGTGAATTGCCTCGATCTTATAAATATATATATATATATATATATATATATATATATATATATATATACATATTTCAAAAACATTTGAAACTACTTGACGGCAAGATAAGATTAGTAATATAAGATCTAACATTATTAAATTATAGTAAAATGCTGTTCAAACTTTTTCACTTATTCTTTAATATTAATAAATAATTATCTATTTAATTAACTTCCAGTAAGGTAAGTATCAGTGATCGCAAAGAAATTGAATAGAAATCTTTTTTACAGATCTTTACGCTTTGAAGATTTCTGAACATTTTGACATACCTTACAAAAAATGGATGTATGTATGTGTGTGTTTGGATACAATTTTTCGTCGACAAATTCGGAAATACAGATCAACGGATTTGAATAATTCAATAAACATTCTATTCGTATTGGTGAGAAGACGTGCTGATTAGTTTTTGGCAATAGCAGGTCCAGCCGTTTCAAAGATATGGGGCATAAAGTGCCTGAAATGGTAATTAAGTTTTTGAGAGAACGGAGCGTCCGATTTGAATAATTCGAAAAACATTTCATTTGTATTAACAAAATGGGGAACTGATTAAATTTTTGGAAAGGCAGGTCTACCCAAAAGTACTTCTGTACCAAAGTTCATCCGTTAGTCTGCTACGCGGCGCTTACGCGTTTCGATATATCGCCTCTACGCAGCTAACGAAGCGCGATTGCTTTGCAAAAAAGTTTTCATTTGAAAATTTTCTAAAGATTTCGAAATAAAACAAAAATTGAAAGAAGTCAAATTTCTTCAAATAATTCAAAATTTTCAAAAATCTAATTTTTTCGAAGTTTTCAAAAACTTTAAAAGCTTTTTCATAAATTTAAAGTTTCGGTACGCAGCATTTTGCCTTACGGCACAATGCCATGCACCACTAGTTTGCTTTATATCATTAATATCATCCAATTAGAATCCCACCATCCTATTAAAATCTGTATGACTAAAGTCACTGCCGCATTCTCAGCCTTAGGATTCCCACCAGAATCGGCGCTTACGACTAGCGACATCCAATTCGACGAATAACGTAGCATTTAATCAAATATCTGTCAAATTTGTGTGTCATGCACGTGTTGGATAAGTAAAATACTCTTGATCAATTAAAACATCGAGTTACAAGCGCTTTGAACTAATTATAACCATAATATTATCATAAGCTTTAATTAAAAATGTATCTAATATATAATACTATCCTATGAACTTGGAAAAAAAGCACAATCGATATTCAGCTTTCTAAAATCACAATCGTATGAAATCGGCACACATGCACGCGAATTTAACCGTAAATGTTAAAACAATAATAATACTTGAAAACAACAGATATTAATTATATATAAACTTGAATGTAAATATATAGAAAGTGGTTAAAATGTTTACATCGCGCATACCTTATCTAATCATCGACACAAGCGTCAAAGCACATTCACTATCACGACTAAACAATTAAATTAAAAAATTATTCAACAACAAAACACACGCTAGAGTAGTTTCGATCTGTCACAACTACAGCAAGAGTTCATACCAATAAACTATTAACCATGCTCTTCACCTCTTGACATTGTGAATGAAGCAGCGGTTTGAGACAATGTTGCCATCACGTGTCAATGAGATTCTAAGCGGAGAATTCAAATCATCCGCATCGCGCTACCATGTTCATTCATAATCAAAAAATACTGAAGGCAATTAAAAATTATGGAAATTATTTATATAAATATTTTGGGCAAATAAATGTATGCTATTTAAATTACGCCAATATAATAAAATATTATTTTTAGTATTATCAAATACTTCAACCGTATAGAATTCATTAGCATAGATAAATAAAGTAAATCAGAATCATATTAGAATTTTTAAATATATTCAATATTATATGAAAATTTTATTTTTTGTAATGAGTTCACATATTTTATTATATGTTCTCAAACCTAGATAGTAATGAAAATAAATTTAAAATTATTTATTGCTAATGTTCGGTTATTATTACAAAAGTGTTTATTGCTGTCATCTCAGTTTAGATCAAACATATTGTAAAACCATTTTTAATTTACAATTCTTCTCACTATACTTTTCACTGCTTACTATGAAACCACATATGAAAATCATTTATTTGTATGTTTTAAAAACGCTAACAATTTTTTTGCATAATGATTATTCAATAAAGCCTTAGTAACAAATTTACTTCTCTATTTTTCCAATACCCTTCAATCAATTTTGAATAGTGAATCCTACTAATTCTTTAAATAAAAAACATCAAAATATTATGCATTGAAGTGTATTTCAATATTTAAATAATAAATTAAAAACATATATCACTATTAAAGCTTGAGTAAAATTATAACACAATTTTTTTATGAACTACACATATATTACAAAAATCACTCAGTTATTTTCACCTGCATACAAATATTTACATTAGCCGATTTTAAATAAATTATTGTCAATGTAAAGTAGTATGGGATCTTTGTAATTCTGTACCATTAGAATTATTTGAGTTTCGTGTTTGCATATTTCCTATCATATTTTCTAACTGATGTGTTGTTTCTCTGACAGCGCCAGAAATATCAGACAAATCCATTGTTATATGTGCAGAGAGACGTTTGTACACTGAACTGCCATCACGTTTACTTCTACGTGATTCTTCATATTTTAGTTGTTGTTTTAAAAATATTGCATTTTTTAAGAGGTCTTGTATATTCTGAAAACAGCCATCTGCATTTTCTATGGATTTCACAGCCCTTAGTAGAAAAATAGTATGTTAATTTCATGTAAAACTGAAATCTTTATTTGCAAAAAGCTAAATGCAACAATAGTTTTAACATGCATATAAATTAATTATTATATTATTTTGCACAATTTTAAATATTTATATATATATATATATATATATATATAAATATGACGTGCCCCATATACATATCAGTTTAACATTCTTCAGCTGTATTGAAAAGTTATTCATCTCAATCTGAATGATTGAGATGAAAGAAGGAATTTAAAAATGCATTTTATAATTTAAATCACCATCGTACTTTATAGGTTGTTTGCACAAGTGTTGCTTAATACCACTAATGTTGTTAGTGACTAATTTAGTTTATTATTAACTAATTAAATAATTAATATTCAACATCATAACATCTAACTTAAGATAATTAAAATTTTAAAATTAATTATAAACTATTACCCAACAGCATATTCAACATCATAACATCTTCCTTGAAGTTCTTGATGTAACTTTGTTACTTCAACTCTTTTTTCCACCATGGGCGGTAATGCTTTTCGAACATGTTCTTGCAATCGGTAAAATGCTAGAGATGGCTCATTAGCTACGATGTGCATATTTTCAGAAATTCTTTCAGTTGCTGCATGATAAAATATTTATAATAGTATTTTACATAAAATTAATCTGTGAAAACAATATGCATGTTTTTAAAATCCACCAATAACAGTATAAAAGATTATATAACCTTGTCAGATTACGTGAATCCATATTTCACTAGAAGCAGTAAATTATTTTAAATAAATCGATTGTATGGTTGAAACTAAATAATGAGTTAATAAATATATTACATTAATTCATGAAGATAAATTATATATTTAAAAGCCTTTTCTCTTATGATACTGTTTATAGAAAAATCATAGAAAAGAATTATTCTGAACTGTTACTAATTTAATACAAAATACAATGAGAATTTTTACAATTTTTCAGTTTTCCATGATAAAAGACCAAATTCAGAAATCCGACCCATTTCAGTAGAATGATATGGATTATACGGATTTTCATTACGCTGTATTATGATAATAAGCCGTATAATTAATAATTTGTTTAGTAAAACTGTTTCTTTAAAACAATTGTTAGTTGTAATAAGTTTTTTAAACCTGTATTACCTTTTTTAACCTTTGTTTCCAAATCAGGATCGGCTGCCGGAGCAGTTGCCATTATCACTAACTTAACTAGTCAGTCTTTATAATATTTACAATTAATAAATTATTTTATAAATATAAGAGCCATATATAACTTTTGAGGTTTTAATATCTGAACATTCAATTTAAAATACGATATCTTGCCCACTGCCAACCATCTGTCAATGTCAATAAGCACAATTAGTGCCTGCGTTCAAAACATAACCTAAAATATTTAATTTAGCTTTAGTATGCAAATCAAATAATATTAAACTTCAGTAACACATATGCTACTAAGAAAAGTTATTCATCTCAATCTGAATGATTGAGATGAACGAAGGAATTTAAAAATGCATTTTATAATTTAAATCACCATCGTACTTTATAGGTTGTTTGCACAAGTGTTGCTTAATACCACTAATGTTGTTAGTTATACTAATTTAGTTAAATATTAACAACATTAATCCTAACTTAAGAATATTTTAAAATTAATTATAAACTATTACCCAACAGCATATTCAACATCATAACATCTTCCTTGAAGTTCTTGATGTAACTTTGTTACTTCAACTCTTTTTTCCACCATGGGCGGTAATGCTTTTCGAACATGTTCTTGCAATCGGTAAAATGCTAGAGATGGCTCATTAGCTACGATGTGCATATTTTCAGAAATTCTTTCAGTTGCTGCATGATAAAATATTTATAATAGTATTTTACATAAAATTAATCTGTGAAAACAATATGCATGTTTTTAAAATCCACCAATAACAGTATAAAAGATTATATAACCTTGTCAGATTATGTGAATCCATATTTCACTAGAAGCAGTAAATTATTTTAAATAAATCGATTGTATGGTTGAAACTAAATAATGAGTTAATAAATATATTACATTAATTCATGAAGATAAATTATATATTTAAAAGCCTTTTCTCTTATGATACTGTTTATAGAAAAATCATAGAAAAGAATTATTCTGAACTGTTACTAATTTAATACAAAATACAATGAGAATTTTTACAATTTTTCAGTTTTCCATGATAAAAGACCAAATTCAGAAATCCGACCCATTTCAGTAGAATGATATGGATTATACGGATTTTCATTACGCTGTATTATGTTATATTATAAGCCGTATAATTAATAATTTGTTTAGTAAAACTGTTTCTTTAAAACAATTGTTAGTTGTAATAAGTTTTTTGAACCTGTATTACCTTTTTTAACCTTTGTTTCCAAATCAGGATCGGCTGCCGGAGCAGTTGCCATTATCACTAACTTAACTAGTCAGTCTTTATAATATTTACAATTAATAAATTATTTTATAAATATAAGAGCCATATATAACTTTTGAGGTTTTAATATCTGAACATTCAATTTAAAATACGATATCTCTGCCCACTGCCAACCATCTGTCAATGTCAATAAGCACAATTAGTGCCTGCGTTCAAAACATAACCTAAAATATTTAATTTAGCTTTAGTATGCAAAATCAAATAATATTAAACTTCAGTAACACATATGCTATATAGAATTTAGTTATATTTAGTTTAAATTAGTATTAAGTGAAAAACTGAGTATGTTCATGTTCATGTTTAATATAATACACGTTTTGTAATATAAATATTTACAGCTCTGTCTATAGTTCAATTTGTTTCAAACCTTATTATTAAATAACAATCTCATAATATTTTCAATATTTTTTGTACTAAAAATATACCCTTTAACACCGTTCATGTACAAAGTTTGAGTTTCAAAAGGTCATGTTTCTTATATCAAAAATTTATGTAGTTTTTGACATCTGTATCATTCATTATGGTATACTGTTAATTTTCTATTCTTTTAAATATAAGTTTATAAATTAAAACTACATATTATTTACAGGACAAGACAGAAGCCCTTAACAGTTTCTCACTCTTAACCATGATTTTACGCTTTTACTCATTTCTTGTTCTGCTGTGGGATTTTAACATTTTCTTATTGTACACATTGTTCTCCATCCTGAATGCAATATTCGAGTTGATTTCACCAAAACCACTAAAGCCAGTTGATTCAGAAAAAGTACTGGTTAGTATAAATAGAAGTTAATCTGCATTTTAAAAACTAAGCCTTCATACATTTTTAAAAATTCAGTTTAACTCCAATTTGTTGCTTGCTATTAACTATTTTTTTTACAGCTTATTTATTTTTTTATTTTTTTTTCTAAATTGGAATTCAATTTTGATTTGGTTTCTTAGCAAAAATCTAACTAGCTTTATGTTTAAATTGATTCAACTCTATTGTTTGAAACAATAATATTTAACGCACATTAAAACTAAAGCGGCATTAATAGATAGTAGGTTCGAGTAGAGGTGTCGGTAAAGAATTAGCACTTCAGTTGTCTCAACTTGGAGCTTGTATTGTATGCTGGGATATTAATACATCCGGCAATGAAGAATTGGTAAAACAAATTAGATTGAAAAATGGACAAGCTTATGCCTACACTTGTGATGTTACTGATCAAGACAAAGTACTAGAAATGGCTAAAAAAGTTCAAAAGGAGATTGGTGACATTACAATGATGTTTAACTGTTCCGGCGTTCCAAGCCCTCGATCATTATTGGCTCAAAAGCCGCCGGATATAAAGGATACCATCAGTTTAGGAGTTCTAGCACATTTTTATGTATGTCATGTCAAATATGATAATAAATTAAAATCATTTTATGTAAAATTTTTTAATTATATAATGATAAGTTGCTGATATTTTATCACTTTCATAATGAAACAATCAACTCTGAAATCAGTTTTCTATATTCATAATGAAATTATATATATTTTTCAGCTATTGGAAGCATTTCTGCCTAGAATGAAAGAATTAGATCATGGCCACATTGTTACATTAACATCTGTCGCAGGATTAACAGGAATAAACAACCAGGTTCCTTTAAGTGTGACACAATTTGCAGTGCAAGGACTAGTTGAATCTCTCTTAGAGCAAACAAGAACTGATAAAAACTTAAAGAATTTACACTTCACTTTATGTCACATATATCCTTTTATATTTAGCAACGATGTAGCAAATGACATCCGTCTTAGAATTTCTAGCTTCTTTGGAAAAATTAAATCTGCAGATGCTGCTCATAAAATTATTGACGGTGTGAGAAGAAATTATGTGGAAATTAGCATTCCAGGATATTTGTTATATTTGGGCCATGCACTGAAATTGTTACCAAGAAATTCAACTTGCATGTTAAAAGACATGCTAAATACAGGCACAGACTTTGCATGATTTTATCTTTATCTGCATTTTTTATTGAATGCTTTTGATAGTATATGCTTTCAATAATTAATACCATTCAGTAATTTCCATATAGTATTAAGTATTTTATTGGTGGCCTAGAATCAATTCAATATCGGCATAAATTAAAATAAAATTATGTTCTATCAAATTTTAAAATAAATTTATAAATTTTAATGATTAAATTTCTTTAATCCATTTGATTCTCAGCCATTTTATATCTATAAATGTAAGTAAAACTTTATGTTGCTCAGGAATAAAAATGAAAATATGTATTATATATTGTTAGGATTAGAATAAAATAAATATTTTTATACATTACTAACATTCTTTCATATTTTCATACAAACTTTTCAAACCTCTATAACCTTTAATTCCAATCTTAGCACCAGCAATTTTGCAGCCCAGAATGATACTTTCTTGTAAGCTTTGATTATTAATCAGGCTACTAATAACACTTGCACAAAATGTATCACCTGCTCCTAATGAATCAATAATTCTTGGCGGAGGATATGAAGGACTTGAAACTACATTTCCTTTCGAATCAGAGGCGGCAGCTCCATGCTCTCCCCATGCACAAATAATAATTGCACTGTTGAAGAACAATTATTTATAACAGATAAATAAATTAGATAATTTATAATTCAATAGTTTTTTTTTTATTAATAGAGTTTTGTGCAGTGATAATAGAATTATTAAAATAAATTTTAGAGAATATTACCCTGGTTTACATGTACTTTTCATTTCTCTCACTGTATCTAACATATTGCTATAGTTACAACTCATTGCATAGTCCTTTCCAAAAAATATGACATCAGCTAATGCAGCTAATATTTCTATCTCAGGCCTAACTTTCTCAATTTCTAAAGATATCACAATCGTTTGTCCAACATCTGCCTTTGAATTATATGTTGTAATCATTTCCATCATTTTCCTAACTTCTTTAACATTTTGGCCTTGAAAGTGAATCCATTTATAGCATTCCAAGTTAACTTTTTTAAAATCTTCTACTGTAAGTTCGGGTAAATTAGGATTGGTATGCAAAATAGTTCTACTTCCTGTATTTCTAGATAAAATAACTGTAGATAATGGTGTATCAGCATCTTCATAGTAGCGACAATTACTAATATTGATACTAAATGAGTTAAAGTCCTCGATGAGAAATTGCAAATAACACTTTTTACTTAATGTGCCTAAAAATTCACACTCAATGCCGAGTTCAGATAATACAGAGCAATTATTAGAAGCATTACCACCTCTTTGCCAATATCCTTCTAGAGACCTAAAATATTTTATTATCATTATATAAATATTATTATTATAAAATGTTTTATAAAAATATATCATCATCCGAAAAATATTCATGAAATAAAAAATGACACAATTACCAAAAAATAACTGGGATTAATAACAAATTGCCAAAAACTTTGTATACAGCTGATAACGAATTTTAAAGATTATGTAAATTAAAAGGTAGAAATATTAGGTATAACATTAAATAAGATAGATCATGTTGCAAAATGAAAATAACTTCTTACACTACAGATTTTTTCTGTTTCCTCTGTGCAGAATTGTTATGTTTTCCATGTTATTTTTACCTTTTTTCGGAATCTTCAACGGGAAAACTTTCGCAAACTTGGACAATATCAAGCGTACAAAGACCCACGCATAAAACTCTTTTATTTGAATCAGTATTAGACATAATTACTAAAGGATTGTCAATTAAATTCATTTATTTTGTACATTATATTACTCTGCAAACAAAATACAAATGATATATATTAAATTCTGATTGAAAAGACCTCAACGCGACCTCAAAATGATATCTGTTAACATAACCTTCGATTAAGTGGAAACCTGCAATCAACTGTTGACATATAATATATAATTTGAAGACAACTTTAAGTACTTTTACTTAATGAAGATATTATTTTTAATTCTAGACAATATTGGGAACATTACTAAGTTATAATTTTTAAATAAAGTTTTTTGATTTTAATTCATGAGGCAAAGGGTATGGGCGTGTTTCCATACAGAATTGGCCCCACCCTGGTATTTAAATAATTTGGATGCCATTTTATAGGTATTTTCGAAAAAATCCGATATACCAAATTTCAAATCCGTAGCTCATCATTTGGCCGAGATATCAGTGAAAACATGTGAAAGTGGCCCCTTTTTTCAAACTCACTTTTTGTCGGAAATATGAGAGATATCAAAAAACTGTTAACGTCATTCTTTTTATACTGATCTTGTCTATGTTGTTCATAACAAATAATGTGGAAAAATTATTTGTTAGTGCGAGAAAAAGTGAAAATAATTTTTTGTTTTGAATTTTCGGATAGTGCGGTTGTTTGGACTAATTTTTAATTAGCATCATTAGAAAGGCTATTAAATTTTCTTTTAGTGTGCAAAATTTTGTTTTATTTCATGTGGTAGAACACATTCAAAAGTAGAAAAAACCTGAGCAGATACACGCTCGCCCTCATATAGCACCCGTGTAAGTCGTCTCTCATTCGCAACGACTAGCGACAGCACTGCTCGCCGCGCGTCTTGATAAATTAAAACATTTTTAATAAAACACAAGATATATACATTTATATTTTAAATAATTATATATTTATATGTATATGTATAATAACTATATTTTTATATAATTAAATATTTATTATTTATATATTGCACAATATATTATATGATTTAATTATCATTAATAATTTATTAATTATTAATACCACTAAATAAATAAAAAATGGATTGATAAAAAATATACATAATAATAGTATATCGGTATATGATTACTATTCAAGCTACAGCAATGTATAGAAATGCGAGTATACTAAGTTAGTCATAAATATATTAAATAATATCTCGAAGTTTTTTTTAAATTAAATAATATAATCTATTGAATAGAATGTCTCAACATATGAATACTCATAATAATTATTGAACTACTGCACTATTGTGTATCATCCTTAATTAAAACGATATTATTTAATATAATATATAATTATGATGCCGCGAAATTTCAAATATCGTTTTAATTAAGGATGATACACAATAGTGCAGTAGTTCAATAATTATTATGAGTATTCATATGTTGAGACATTCTATTCAATAGATTATATTATTTAATTTAAAAAAAACTTCGAGATATTATTTAATATATTTATGACTAACTTAGTATACTCGCATTTCTATACATTGCTGTAGCTTGAATAGTAATCATATACCGATATACTATTATTATGTATATTTTTTATCAATCCATTTTTTATTTATTTAGTGGTATTAATAATTAATAAATTATTAATGATAATTAAATCATATAATATATTGTGCAATATATAAATAATAAATATTTAATTATATAAAAATATAGTTATTATACATATACATATAAATATATAATTATTTAAAATATAAATGTATATATCTTGTGTTTTATTAAAAATGTTTTAATTTATCAAGACGCGCGGCGAGCAGTGCTGTCGCTAGTCGTTGCGAATGAGAGACGACTTACACGGGTGCTATATGAGGGCGAGCGTGTATCTGCTCAGGTTTTTTCTACTTTTGAATGTGTTCTACCACATGAAATAAAACAAAATTTTGCACACTAAAAGAAAATTTAATAGCCTTTCTAATGATGCTAATTAAAAATTAGTCCAAACAACCGCACTATCCGAAAATTCAAAACAAAAAATTATTTTCACTTTTTCTCCCACTAACAAATAATTTTTCCACATTATTTGTTATGAACAACATAGACAAGATCAGTATAAATAGAATGACGTTAACAGTTTTTTGATATCTCTCATATTTCCGACAAAAAGTGAGTTTGAAAAAAGGGGCCACTTTCACATGTTTTCACTGATATCTCGGCCAAATGATGAGCTACGGATTTGAAATTTGGTATATCGGATTTTTTCGAAAATACCTATAAAATGGCATCCAAATTATTTAAATACCAGGGTGGGGCCAATTCTGTATGGAAACACGCCCATACCCTTTTAACTAAAATATTTTTAATCGTCTCAAATGTCACATTTCGACAATTATATATATATATATATATATATATATATGTATATGTATAATATAATATATTATAAAAATACTAATTAATGCCATGGTTTTTAATAAACATTCGTTATGGTCACGATTTCAAAATGTTAATACTGAAAGTGTACTTAACACCTGTGATATCGTTAGAAAAAATGGGTTTTCAGAACATTCATAATTCATAATTCATTCATTCATAATTATTTACAAAACTAAATTTGGCCATTTACATTTTTTAATCCAATATGAAATAATTATAATTACAAGTTATGCAATTTCATGTTTTAGTGAAAGGCTATCAAACTTTAATAGTAAAGAAAGAAATCGCACATTGTTTTTTTTATTCCTCTCAAGATTTATTCAATTCATACGTTTTAGATATAATAAATGATTGTTTATCAACAAAGTTAACTTTTATATCACCAGAAACAAAATATTTGACCTAGAAATAATTTCCATGCAGACTAATATTAAATAGTTTTGAAATTAGACATAGCTATTTAGAGTTTTATTATATACATTTATTATTTAAATCGCGATACATGTTTATTGACTTTTTCCTTAGATTTAAGCAATCATTCGCATCCGTTGTTGAATTGTAGAAAACCATATACAATGTGCTTTTAGATGCAAAAAATAAATGGACACACAAAAAGCTACAATTACTTATATCACCATTGTGCGTATAATATAAATTAAAATATTTTTATATCATAAATTGCTTTGACTGAACTATTATAAGTTTTAACATTTAAATTTTAATAAAAATGCTGCTGATACTTCACATCTTATAAGAATAATATTGTTTTCAGCAGATTTTACTCAAAGAACAATGGAACTATTTTAGGCATTAAGTCCAGATTGTCTTTTTTATAGTTTTCCTAATAAACATGTTCATATTTTTAGTAATGAATTAACAACAAATTCAGTGTATTAATAATTTTAAACACGTTTCAAATCAAATAAATTTGCACATGTTGACTTCTTGAACTAATTTTACTGTTTCTATAATTTTTCTTAATTAATTTTATGATACATATGAATCATATTCATATGCTAAATAAACCTCAAAACATATGTAGAGATCTGTAAATTGTGCAATGGTGCACTCGCAGTTATGCAAAATGTTATGGAGCGTTTTTCTCTGTCTCATATATTTGATGTAATTATTGAGGCTACTATTTATAACCATGAAAATTCCTATTTCTAATTGTAGTACATACTTAAATAATAGTTTCGTTATAGTATGCTCAACAAAATGCTTATATTCAGCAGAACCACTTGCTATAAATAACATCATTGAAGATATCATTACAAATTAAAATTGAGCCTCAAAATATTTATAAACACTTGCTATCAAATTTAAATCCTATGACAAATATTCATTAAATTTTTTTAGTATATAACAAACTGCTAGAAAAATGATGAACATATCAATTTACATAAAAACTAAAAAGAAAAAAAAATCAGTTACACCAGAGAGAAAGAGAAAGAAAAGCTCTATTGCGTTTTCTTAATAACATTTCATTAACATGTAGCACTGTTTCACTCTTAAGCAACATAATTGTTACATTATATTATATTTTTCACAATATCTCTAAGTACAAATGACTGTAAAAGGCTATTTTTGTGTATATTTATATAAATTGTTCAGCAATGCATTGAATATTAACTATACATAAGTATCTATATGATAGATCTTATGATTTACCTTAGACCTTGTTTTCAAAGAGGTAATGTTTGATCTAAAATTTCAAGCGTTAAAAAATCACTTTCTTAAATTCTCACATCATGTATTGCATCTGCGTCAAAGAATGTTTTTGTTTAAAATTAACACATACAGCCACCTTCTGAATCTTGCTGTTCATTGGGAGCATTGGGTTGAGTTTGTAAATCAACAGCTGCGTCTTATATTAAGGAAAAAATTTAAACAAGTGCGGACCAAAAAATAAAAGCAAAGTGCTTGTAACAGCATAAATTTAATCATTAAATTCAGACCATAACAAGAACACTAATCTTGCATATTACTAAAAAATGATTTTATAATATAAGAAAACTTAAATTATTTATTTCCAAATAACGTGAGATGATTTTTTAATATTTTTCAAGACAGTTAAGGTCAAAACTATCACCCCGTTTCGGCTTGACGTCAAGATCTGGGACACCCTATATTTATATTATATATATATATATATATATATATATATATATATATAAACATCTTTCAATATTTTGCAAGACAATAATATGCAAGATTATGTTTAAAATGAACATGTTCCCATAATTTATATTCAATCATTTACATTTAAAAAATATTTCAAATACACTTCATTTACAAAGTGGCAAAAAAAAACTTTAATTATCATTAAAATTAATAGAATGAAGTTAAAATAATTTAAATATATACATGGTTACAAAAGCATGTTAGCCAATAATAACTCATCACTTCAGAAAAAATAATTTAATAAAGTAACAAATAATCAAGTCATACCCAGTAAGAATTTAGCATGGCAAAAAATCCATCAATAAAGGCAGTATATTCATTGGCCTATATGCAATCTTTATAAGCAATCATAGGCCTTATCTCTGAAGCACCCTGAAAATGACTAAATCTACAGAAAATTGCTAGTATACTACACAATATATACATATACATTGCCAGTAAAAAGCTGAAATACTTATAGAATAAATCAGTTACATGCAGAGATAGATGCTTAAAATTAAAAATTATTATAACAATTTCAACAAAAATATTTTATTATTAATTGATAATTTTAACAAAATTAAAGGTAAAAATGATCTTTACTATATAATCAATAGATTAAAATAAATTATTAATTCGATAATATTTAGTTATTTAAGATTATTTCTAACAATAAGCCCAAATTTTATTATATATATATATATATATATATATATATATATATATATATGTAAGTAGTTGTAAATTATGATTTAAAACTTCAATGTAGAACATACGAAATATACAATTTAAGTTTTTCAATGTATATAGTACCAGAATTAATTGCTTACTAAACTGGAAATAACATTATACATCATTCATGAGGTATCCATTCTTATAAATATTGATTTATTTAATTTAAAATGCCCATTTACAAAATTGGACAAATATTATCTTCCATTTTCTCTCTTATTTTTAGAGTTATTAATGTTTCAATAAGGATATAAAATTCTCTTAAAATGTATGGTATATAAAAATGAAACCCTAACGATTCTTCTATTAAAAATGCTATCTTAATATTTATTTCAAATTTATGTTTGTCAATATTAGTTTAATCATGATCTAATTCAAGAATCCTAAGTCACTGTTGGATTCATAATCTTTTCACATATGCATGTTAAAGTCTATTCAAGTTTGTTATTCTCAACTTACATTATCATTATAAATACTTAATAACGAAAGGTTTGTAATGACAATAATACGGTAATATCAGCATGCACATCCTCCTTCCGGATCTTTCATTTCATTTGGTGTGTCTTTTAACACAACTTCTTGCACTATAGCGAACATTAAGGAAAATAAAATAAATCATAGAACCAAGCAATACATCCAATCAGAACTGAAGCGTTATATACAAGTCACATGCAACATACATTTATTATACTTACACACTTTATTGTATATATATATATATATATATATATATATATATATATATATATCTTGAGAATTTTTTGTTCAAACAGCCAATGCGTCGAATGAAGAAAATATTTATTTTAAATTTGTACTTTTCGACACTGGATATGTCTCATCATTCAGCTAGAAGAAATTTTACAATATAAGAAAAAATTCAGAAATAAAAATATAACAATTAAAGAAATGAGATTATACATTCCAAATCAGGAGAAAAAACATTAAAACAATATGTTTTTGTAACTAATTGTAGGAAAACAAAAAATTGTTGAAAAAATGAAACACAATATAGGTAAAAATAATAAAACTTAAAAACACAATGAAGACCGCGTACAAGTGAAACGCCAAAGCAAAAGACAGAAGAATAACGCTAGGCATAAAACATGATTCAGAAAATCTTAGATCGTGTTTCATTTCTACAACTATTTTTTGTTTTTCTGCAATAGTATCATGTGATTTATTATATTAATTGCAATTGTTTTAATATGTTTTTTTCCTGGTCTGGTAAGTATGTATGTATAATCTAATTTCTTTAATAGTTATATTTTTAACTTCCCGTAGGGTAAGTTATTGTAATCCTCCAAAAATCGAAATTGAAAATTTCTTCACATTTTGAAGGTTTCTGAACATTTTGGCACACCTCAGAAAAAACGGATGCGTGTGTGTATGTATGTATGGATACAATTTTACGTCCACGTTTTCGGGCGCACGGATCAACCGAATTGAATAGTTTAAAAAACATTTGATTCCTATTGATAGGAAGATGTGCTGATTAGTTTTTGGCAAAGACAGGTCCAGCCGTTTCAGAGATACGAAGCAAAGAGTGCAGAAAATAGAAATCGAGTTTTTGAGAGAACGGAGCATCCGATCTGAATGATCTAAAAAACATTTAATTTTTAATGACGGAGAGAAGTGGTGATTAGATTTTGGCAAAGATACCGAGACTAAATGTACAAAAAATGGCAGTTTTTGAGAGAATTATGCATCCGATTTGAATGATTAGAAAAACTTTCTGCTTGTTTTGACAAAATAATTGCTTTTGGAAAAAAAATATTACAAAATTTTTTTTTCCTAATTATTTTCCCCCAAAAATAATTGAGACTTTAATTTTGATTCTGGCTAAAGTTCTAAAGCTCACTTACATACTTTAAATAAATAATTTTAAATTTGTAATTCAGTTTATATAACTCTTATAAATATTAGAAAATGTTACAGTATTTACAATAATCTAAATGAAAACATTTAATATTTCTCGAACATTTCGTTACGGTACGGAAAGTTCCAGCAATTTGCCTTAAGGCACGATGCCATACACAACTAGTTAATTCTGAATGTTTCCTTATATTGTAAAATTTCTTCTAGTTGAATGATGAGGCACATCCAGTCTCATAACATAGGAATTTAAAATAAAAATAATATTTTCTTCATTCGAAGCATTGGCTGTATATAACTTAATATATATATATATATATATATATATATATATACATATATATATATATATATATATATATATATATATATATATAACTTAAAGAGTCTGTCAGATTTTCTTTAAAACAATGATGAATAAGGTATTATGGGATACACAATATATTTTGTAAAACAAAATGTATTACCCCGTAAGTATTAAACAAAATATTATATATACATTCACAAAATGCAGTATCTTCATGCATATTGAAATGAAAATATGATTAAAAGCGACAAAACTTTCAAAAATATAAGATCAAAAAAAGAAAACGTAAAAATAAAAAAATGACCTTTTAAAGCGGACAATCTTCATGCTTTTATCTACAGACTTGTATGCATTTGGTATGCGTGTTTTAAAAACAAAAAATGTAAAATGAAAGCTTCACGTTAAGAACGTTACGTAAGTAAAAAGGATACTGTCCTCTGGAGGTTTGTTTTCCGTCGAGTCCATGCCGGGCAGAGCAGCGGCAACACGCCTGAATAGCTTAAAAAATAAAATAATGTTACGAATGAAACTCTATGAAACTCATAATTAGGTACTGATACTGATATGACTATGGGTTGACAATACTACAGCTACAATATCCCCCTAAAATATGTACTGATTTACTAAACTTTAGGTACATATAATCTACAAATCATCCACTCAAATAACTGTTGATAAAGCAGAGTAAAGAGCGCAGTTGTAGTCCTTACATCATTGTGAAGCAAAATAGCATATATTGCATAAAATAATTTCCCATAGCGTAATAAAAGATATTAGAATTTTTAAAAAATGTATTGAGAAAATAGAAAGAAACTATATGGCAATATGATATTTTTGAATTATAACTAGAGCAATATTATATCATTCAAATATTTTCCAAACGGATACATGGAAAAAGATAGAAGGTAGACCAGAATCTTTATTGTCTAGAACAAGAATAAGCAACGAATTAATCAATTAGAATTTTTTTTAGATTGAGGATTGTGTCAGTTTTTAAATATTTTGCGTCCCAATTTTGACTATAGATTTTATAGATCTTCAGCGGTAAAAGGTACATTTGAAAACATATGTCACACACCCAAAATCCAGACAACTATTTTGTGAATCTATTTTAATTTCGATCCATCCACCGATCAAAATTGAATGAAACATATTAAAGCTGCATACACGTTGCTACTTTCCGCATAAAAAAATTAAAATGAAGAACAAGATTTAAAAAACGACTGATATTGATCAGTTTAAATAAAAAAGCAGTGCCAAAATTCTCATTAAAGTTTACAAGTAACTAAATTAGTTTTCAAGTAAATTAGTTTTTCTGTTTAACTATTATTTATTTTCATTTTGTATTAATTTTTATATACACTTATAATATACACTCGAAATTATATAAAATATATACCTTTTTCAACTTTGTATATTTGTTCTTTTCTTGTTGCAATTTTGTTGCAATTACATTAGTCCGGCGATCAGTCAATGAATCTTTTTGACTTAATATTAAATAGTTCAGACTTTTGAGTTTATGAAAAATCTTCAATTTTATTCAAAAAGAAAAAGCAATTTATTTTTCATGGATTGTACAACGGTAATGATTTTTTTTTAATTTTGTTCTTTATTTTAATTTTTTTTTTAATACGAAATGGACAACTGCATACAACTCCAAATTTATTAACAATTATCGTCTTTTTGTGAACGTTTTTAATAGAAATTCGATCAAGTTTTTTCAGAGCTTATAGAAAAGCTTAAATTTATCCGCTCTATCCGCTGCAACATTTTAAAAACAATTCTTAAATATTGGCATCGAAATGGTTATCTCCGATAAAACTAACTGATTTGCCGTACATAATTTTTGAACGCCTTGCAGAAGGAGCAACTTTAGCAAAAAAAATTTTGAAATTTAATATTAAAATCTGAAGATAAAACTGCTTTTTAAAGAAAATTGGGTTTTTTTCAAGGTTAACATAATTTAAATATGGATGTTGGTATTTTAGCGTTGCGTTGGATAAATTATCTATGTAATTCGTGTTATCTGCCCCTTTCATTTATATACTACATTTTTATGCATTCAGAATTAGTTAGCCATTTTTATACTAATGATTTTCTAAAAATATTTCCTGTGGCAAAACGTTTGTCGGTTCTGCTAGTATATATATATATATATATATATATATATATATGTATATATATATATATATATATATATAAACGTGCGGCCCGCCATTAAATTTTAAAATTTGAATTGGCCCGTAAGCTAAAGAGGTTGCTCGCCCTTGGTCTAGAACGATTATTATTGCCAATTGTGTTTCATGTATATTATATTAATTTTACGACAAATATATGCAGAATGATAAAAGTTCGACTTACCAGTTTAACATTATATCCAGCTTTCGCGCTGGTTTCAATAAACATGACATTTAGTTCTTTCGCTTTGCGATCGCCTTCTTCCGTAGACACCTGTCTTTTGTCTGACAGATCAGTTTTGTTTCCAACTAACATGATTATAACATCACTACCCCGTTCAGTTCGAACATCATCTATCCATTTAGATGTCTGGTGAAATGAGTTGGCATCTAGATGAAAATTTATCAATGCATCACTTATATACTCATAAATTTGTAAAATATAAATTTCACGTAGTTTTCGTCTTACTGGTGATATCATAAACTACGACTGCTACCGTCGAATCCCTGATGTAGGAGGGTATCAGCGATCTAAATCGTTCCTGACCGGCCGTGTCCCAAAGCTGCAACCTCACTGTGCGATCTTCAAGGTACATTGTCTTCGACAAAAAATCAATACCTATGGTAGCCTAAAAACGATTTAAAAACAATTATAGCAGAGATGTCTGAATGATATAATTAAAATGCGAAACAAAACATTAATTATACTTAATCTTGTAATTGAATATGACATTATACGATATCCATTGATAAACTATAAAAAACAGAGATATTCGGGTTTAACTATACATGAAATTAATACCCCATGTAACACTATTGCTTTATAGAGATGATATGCGATCAACATTTCAATAAAAATATCGTTTGAAAAAATTATGGTAATAAACATGTAAATGTAACTAACTATTAGGTAATTAGGTAATTATATACGTATACATTCTAACTTATATATTTTTAATTTGTTGATCGATTACACATACACATATATAAATTATTAAGTAATTACTATTGTAACAATTGTTAATTGTCGACATATCATTTGGATTCTTAGAATATATTAAAATGTTTAATTTGATAATTAAAATGTGAGAAACTTACTTTGAAAGATATACTGATTTGTAGATAAACAGTATAAAAAACAAGAATAGAACAATAACAAAATAAAAACGGTGTGAGTCTACATTTTATCAAACACGTTTATATAATGAGTAGTGCTGGATTTACAGTAGGGGCAGTCGAGGCAAGTGTTCCCGAAATAGTCGATGAAAATTTGTATCCGCGCACACCATACATCCATCTTTAAGGTACGCCAAAATATTCAGAAATCTTTGAAACGTGAAAATATACAAAATTTTTCATTTTTCATTTTTTTGCACTCACAATAACTTTCCCTGCTGAAAGTTTATCGAATGTGACTGTGAAGAAAGTCTTAAACGCAAAATTTATAAATCTTATTGTTAGAACAAATATGTTCTATTTCTTATATTATCGTAGTAAGTAATGCGTAATACATTTTCTACAATCAGGTAGTTATTTTAATTTAAAAAAATGTCACAATAACTTATTTAAGTAAAATTTCAGGAAGGGGCTGCATTTTTGTCAGTACCCCAGGGCGCCAAATTTCTAAATTCGGCCCTGATAATAAGCGAAGTACTAAAATACTAGTATCTAGTAGTATCTAGATAAAACTATGTATGTAGACTAACTTTTAAATCTGCTCGGTAAAGCGCTTTTCGCATAGTTGATTTGCTTACAAAATGATAATTTACGCGTAAAACTATTAATATATAATAATAACAAATACTAGATTAAGTTTCTAGATCATCGTCGTATATATTTGGAACAAGGGCCTTTTATATACAAAAAAAAAAGGTTTTATTGATTAGTTGTTCATATATTGTACGAAATTAGAGTTATTTGACAAAAAAATCTAATTATATGTTGTTCAAAAATGTTACGAATACTAAATAGAGAAAAAGATTATTTACAAAATAATAAAATAAAATTTATTATTAAAAATAAAATTTATTTACAAAATTAACAAAACAATTTCTAAATTATTATACCTTTTAATGAAAATATTAAAAGTATGTATACAACATTAAAGACCGGTTTCATAAACGGTTTATTCAATTTATGAGTATGTTGTCATATGCTACAAAAATATCATTCAAAACAGACAATTATGCGTCCGTTATAAAAAATAAGAACGCCAATGAAAAATATCATTTATTCACAAATGAAGAAAAGCAATATTTAAATTAGAGCTTGAATTGATACAAAAAGAATGATGTAGTACTAATTTTAATGTTGATGAAAATACTCGACATCAAAAGATCATTTTGAGATTATGAAAAAAATGCATAATTATCACGAGCGTTATCAACCATCGACCGGCCGCAGGTTATCTGAAATGTGCACATTCATAGGATTCATGTCAAAGTAAATATGAATAAAATTCCGTACGATACAAATTCTTGCTGTTAATATAATATTAAGTATTTGATCAAAGTTGAACTGTGAAAATGATGAGACTAAAATTAGGTTCACAGCACCTTTAAACTACAACGTAGCCGAATGATAATGAAAACAAAAGGAAACGGATAGCCCACGGTCGTTCCAAATAAAAGTGTCTTGTTGCGCAATTTGTGTGTTACGACCAAAACAATATCAAGTAATACAAATGATTAACATGTTTTAACGCATTAATATAGTATGACTATAACAAAAATTAATTCAAAGATAAGAAAAATGAGGTTACAATTACTGAACGAGACTAAGAGGTGAATGGCCCAGTTGTAACAGCGCCGCACATGTAATCATATTCAGCAAACCATATTCTCTACAAATAAATTTAAATTAGAGAAAAATCTTGAACAAATTTTCTTTAATAACATATGCTACATAATACTCACCAATTTAAAGATACAACGTTTATTGTGTTGTATTTAAATGGTTTAAACGATTTTCAAGTAATATTTTGATAAAAATGTATATATTTCTGCATTTAAAATTTATCGAACTACCACACTAAATATTTTGTCATACTTTAAAATGAATAATTTCATTCCAGATTTTTATTTTTATTTTTTTTAAATTGCTGACCAATTACACAGGTCCACAAAAAAAGTCGTCTATATTTACTATTGAGTTTCAATTAAATGATCTATTAAGCATTTTTTTTAAAATACTGTAGCATTTTACCAACACATTTTCAAATATGATTGTAGATTACCCAGAGGCAATGGGGAGGAAATATATTTTGGAAACTGCTAATTATACAAAAAAAAACCCTTTCGACTCAGATGCCGCCGAATTCATATAAATCTCGGAATTCGCGAGTGGAAAGTTAAATATTAATAAAGTAATAGATCATTTAATTGAAACTCAATAGTCATTTGAGGTAAAAAGGACCAGAAAACGACAGAAATTATAAGATTTTGATTATTGTGCAGAAAAATTTTCTAGGTCCAAAATTTTTTGATTTTATTTTTTCAATTTTTGCCATTTGACCCCTAATTTTGACTCGTGAGATTTGCGTTCGGTGGTAAAGACCAAATTGGGAAACATATACCGCACATCCAATTCAGACAACTTTTTTTAGTTTGTGGATCATTAAAAAAAGAGCAAAAAAGTCTTTATAAGCTAATTTACAATAAAAATATATTAAATAATAAAACAATGCGAAAAACTATTATTAATACGATTAAAAACTCGAATTGATCTGATTTGTCAAAAGATGTATACACGAGTGTTGGGCAGTTTTTGCCGTGTTGTACTTTGCAAATTTTTTTGTTCATTAATGATTGTTTTTATCAAATTGTAAAATAACCCAGTTTTCAGTTCAAAACTAAATACTGTAAGCAAACAATATCACAATCAAATTGTATTGGCGTTAAAAAAATAAACTTGTAGATTATTCATTATCAGCAGGTAAAATTTCATCTGTATATATGAATTTACGCAGAGAAACATAATTGTGACTCCTCATATTGAAAGTAAATCAGCATCAGCGAAGGGAATTGAATCAAATCGGCAATTAAGTTTATATCAAATATATGGGCGTTTAGTATAAACTCAATCGAGGACCAGTAAGCTTAAGCACACACAGTTGGCATTTAGAGACACTTATGTAAAGGCATGTATAGGCACTTGCTTTTTTATGCTCTCTCGAATGACGTATATAGAAAGTAATATTTGCTTCAGTATTACGAGTTACGAGAGCGAGTGGGCAGCCGAACGCCCGGCTACGGAATGGGCAGCATATGATCACAAGAATGACGGGGCACTGACTTTCAAACGGTTTATGAAAGAAATGTGTAATTATTTTCATCTTTAACTTCCCGTAGGGCAAGTTATAGTAATCGCAAAAAAATCGAGAATGAAAAATTTTATATATCTTTACGTTTCAAAGGTTTCTGAATATTTTGGCATACCTCAGAAAAAATGGATGTATATGTATGTGTGTATATGTGTGTATGCGGATACAAATTTTCGTCGACGATTTCGGGAACACCGATCAACCGATTTAAATAATTCAAAAAACATTCGATTCGTACTGATGAGGAGACGTGCTGCTTAGTTTTTGGCGGTGGCAGGTCTAGCCGTTCCAAAGATACGGGGAAAAAAGTGCCAAAAACCGTAACACGGTTTTTAAGAGAACGGAGCGTCCGATTTTAAAAATTCGGAAAACATTTTACTTGTATTAACAAGATGAAGAACTGATCAAATTTTCATGAAAGCAGGTCTAGCGGTTTCGGAGATCGAGTAAAAAAAATGCCATTTGGCGGTCAAAAATGATCATTAGACATATAGTGCATATAGAAAAAAAAGTATTTATAAAATCGTGAGTTTTCTGAAAATAGTTTGTACCAAAGTAGTGAATCTGGTAGAATCCATCAAGATCTTCATAATGAAGTGAATTCTAGATGGAATGTGAATTACTTTAATTCTGGTGGAAATGACGCTCATTAAACCGAAGAAAACCGAAGAAAAAAACTTCGTATATGCTGCTTATTTGCATGATAGCTCACTCATTTTACACGCAAAAAACTTGTAACAGCACTCATTTTAAAGCTTATGTTGAGCACTATAAAACCCAATTTCACCGAAATGCATAAAAAATGTAAAACCTCGACACTAGATGGCTTTAAATACAACAATTAAATCTTGAACGAATTAAAAAGGACTTTGCTCTTTCAAATCTTGCTTAATAGCGCAGTAAACGGAGCGTTTTAGGTCTGATTTTTTTTACTGTGCTCCGAATTGAATGAAATTTTGGAATTAGGTTCATCTTACCCTCAAATTCAAAAGTGAAGACAATTCGGGTTGCGCCATCACCCCCCGGGGGGATGACCCCTCTTCTCAATTGTGTAATTACATTTTTTTAAAATAACGTCGGAAATCGATAGAAGAGCTAATTATAATAAAAAAATGTCTTCTATAGTTTTTCAAAAAAACTAATACTTTTCAAGTTACTGGCCACTAAAGATTCATATATTTTTGGCGTTTTTCTTCGTCTTTTTGCAAATATCTCCTAAATTATACATTTTAACGAAATTCATGTAATGAACAAAATAATATCAATAAAAATCTTAATAAATCGGTATTACATAAAGTGTTCTAGGAA